GTTATCGGTTCCCTTTGCTGGCTTCCTCTCACTCTGTTCTTTTTTTTTTCAGTTTCAAAGCTCCTATCCACAATTTGCTTTTCATTTATCTCTAATCCCACTCTCATTTTCTGCTCATGAAAGGCTCCCAGGTAATCTTCACCTTCATATTTCCCTCCCACTTTTGTGTCTTCTTCCACGGGGCCTGCTCTGCCTGGAGCATCTTGTGTTGGTGTCCTCCTTCCTATCAAATACCCTGTGAGGAGCCTGTCAAAGTCAGGACCTGAACTCTGACTGAATTTCAGTTGAATTTGGGTGTCTTCATTCCTTTACGCTCTTTGGAAAATGCTACCCTAAATGCAGACATTCTGAGTTTGTTTCAGGGACCCTGAAAGTCAGGTTTAAGAATCATATTTGCTTGTCTTGATGTGGATTTCAGTCTGAAAAACTCACCCTACAAATTCCCACCATTAAGAGAAACGGGAAATGGAGGATAATCTCAAAGGAAATAAAGGGTGAAGTCTTTGTGCTTGTTTGGCTTTTATATTATTGTACACTGAGTCATACTCTGTTAGTTCAGAGTTCATCTGCAGCCCACAGCGATGTTTAAAGCTATTGCATTCCAAAAGCCTTGAAATATTAAGAGTTGGGAGTTTTCTGAAGGATAGGTTGGATATCAGATGAATATTACACCACCTTTAACAGTCCCAGATAGTCTAAAAACCAGTCTCCGTAAGTTGTCCCAGTCCTCTAGATAGTTTAAAAAATATTTTGAAATTATTGTCAAAGCCCTCTAGAAAACCAGTAAGAAGGAATTGTTTGCTTACATATCGTTTTTCTGATTGCAGTTTTCTCACACTGCCAGATTTTGGGGCCATAAAAGTATAGTATTACAAATAGACTTGTATGCATTAGTGACCTCTGGCAACCCTGTGAGTGTTAATAACTAGCAACAGAGAGCTGCAATGGACCTCCAAGGCCATGGGGTCCCACGCTGTCTCAGGCAACTAGGTCATATAAATGCAGTCATAAAGTTTTGAAGTTCATCTCAAAAGCAGTTGGGTTGTGTGCCCTACATCCTATTGGAAGGCTGTTTCCAAACCTCACTCCTCTGACAGAGTGCCACTGCATTTGTTTCTGTGCCTTCTCAAAACATTGTCTTTTAGTGTGTTAGGACTGAATTTGCCTCTTCATGACACTGGTGGTTCATAGCCATCCTGTGATGGATTAATACACCTTAGTCTCTCCTTCTCTTGAGATTTCTACGGCGTGCATGACCTTCTAGTAGTATAAAATGTCACTCTATCTCAGTGATTCCAGGACTCAAGGTTGTCCAGTTCCTTTTGTGTGCTATTTCCATCTACCTTTGTATTGAAAATACCTCCCATATGTGTAGTGTTGGCAAATTTCATTTGCTTATTTAAATAAATCCAGACTTTAAATATAAAGAATATTTATGGATTAAGTTGGAGTCCCAGTTTCCTTTGCATTATGATTTTGGGATTGTAATCCTGCTATCCAATATAGAGATGTGAAAGCTAGAAATGAGCTTGAGCCAAAACCTCAAATCAAAATGCTCCTGAACTTTGAAACTCAGATTTTGCTCCATGTGTGTTGGCTGCATCATATTAACTATCTGTCTGAGAAGAGCTGGGAATAACACAAACGCTGCTCTTATTTAGGAGAGATCATTGTAAGAAATCTCTGTCTCCACCACCACCCAGAAACAAAGCAACTATTTTAAGTAATTGAATGCCAGTGATTTGATCTCAGAGTAGTGGAGCCCTGTCTTTTAGAGTGGTGGGCCAGGTGCTTGTAATTCAGTTGCACTGTGGGCTACCACTCTCCCTCCATACACATAGCCTGATAGGGGAGGTAAGGAGGAAGAGAAGTGTCTGTCTGTGTTAGAGGAAGAGGTTGGAGGGAAGTGGGGAGAGAGAGGAAGAGTTTACCTCTGGTTGTGGAGGGGGATCAGTGGCATGGGTGCAGGGAAGGTAAAGGGATGTGCCAGGTCAAGCTGTACACCACTGATCCCCTATGCTGCTGGTTGGATCCTATCACTTTGGGGGCTAGATCTGGTCCACAGACCATAGCTGAACACCCTTTCTTAAGAGTAGTACCTGCAGAACTGCTGATCTAGCCTTTGACTGTGGCCAGGCCTGATTCTTCAGTAGATTAACGCTCCTTTAGGTATATAGCTCTTGACAGTACAAAGGGATTCTTCTCTTCTAGTACAGAGCTGGTTTCAGGACACGACACTAACCATTCTCCATATCCTCAGCATAAGGAGTAGGTCAGAGGCAAAGAGGGTGCTTAGCCACAGCATGCTGGACAAAGAGCTGGTTTCTACTTCTCTGGGGACTGCGATCAGCCCTGTCAGATATTAAATTAGCCTGGCTACTACTGACAATGATAGCAGGCTAACACGTCCCAGCACATGGTGACTTGGAGTAACCTGGGCCCAATGCTTCATTCTTGCCTCATACACAGGGATTGAATAAAGTAGAGTCTGGGGTAAAGTGTCTGCAGTAAAGCCCAATTATTCTCCCTGCTAAAGCCGTGTCTCAGGTGCCACAGCTGTAGCTGCCCTGCAGACTTATTATACAAACATACTTTTCACAGTTCTACTTATCTTGGTTTCAGATTACACCCATGGAAGTGGTGCTTGATAAATAAAGCTAAAGTGTGAGAGAGCACCCTTTTTCCTGCAAATCTAGTGCTGAGCTAATGTTTACTCAGGATAACATTCCTCATCAACCACTGCCAGTATTGGCTAAGCCTCTTGTGACACATATCTTGCAGAGTAATTAACCAGCAATGAATACTGGGTACCAATCAGCCCCTTCTCCTCTCCAAACTAGAAAGATCTCCATACAGAAGTCATTGAGACAGGTTGTATGTGTTGTTTTTTATTGGGCAATGCGTGTGATTAATCTGGTTGCTGACCAGACAATTTTACTTACATTATTAACTTGTGCTGTATCCTATCCATATTCTGGATTCTGATTGTCAAGATGTCATAACCATTGTAAAGTGGGTTTATCTTGTTATAACCAAAGCATTAGCAAACCACTAGCTCTCATTGTCAAGTGCGAAGGCACTTGAAAACACTGTCCTTACGTTTCAGCTTCTATAGAATCAAGTCATATATGACTTGAAATTAGAAAAATAGCCAGGAATCATGTTAAATGACAATGGCTACTGCCTAAAAAGAACCACAGAGGGGGAAATTAACAGAGCAGGTGGTCCTATTAAAGAGTCTGTCAAATGGTTTCACATGAATCAAACAACCCAAGACTCTTTTTAAGTTGTATCAAGATACCTGTGTCTGAAAGCAACAATAAACTGGTATTCCCTAGCAGTAGAATGCCATTACTAAGTAAAACAAAATGTATTCCCACATGCATAAAGATAGGGAGAGGAACACCAGCATCAGTACTAAGACGTAGCACAGGGTTTGTTCTTTGTAGACCTGAAACAAATAAAGTGCCAAAGTGCCCTCTTCAGTCTGACTCTTTACACAGATTTAGCACTGCAAAGGGTTGTAAATATCCAGCACAGGATTCCTGTCATGGAGGAAATCTAAGGCAGTGACAGAAGTGGCATTTGTCATGCGATCAGCCTCTTGAAAGTGCTCTACAGCCATACCATGATGGAAGTGCATGGCTGCAGAGTGCTTTAAAAGTGCCCAATCATGCATTAAATTACCCCTCACCAAATGAGGGATCAGATAAAGGTGCCTCAAAGCCGAGCACCTTCATTAACTTCTGTCAGTCCCTACACACAAGCAGGGCTGGACTGATGCAACCCAGGCCTGCCCCCTTCGCTGTCTGCGGGGTGGAAGAGGGAGAAAGGAGGGGGAGGGAGCTGCAGGCTGGGGTTTGCCCAGCCTGAGCTGAAGTGGGGGCAGGTGTATTAGAGCCTTCAGCAGGGCTAGGGGAGACAAACTGCAGGCAGGCAGCTCCTTGGCTGGATTGGAGCTCAGTCCTGCACTTTTCCCTTCTCCCTGCCACTCCCCTTCTCCCCCCGACCCAACAGAGAATGTCTGTTGGGTCAGGGGGTCTGTCTAATTCATGGTGCTTTCTATGAAGCTCCATGAGTTAGACCAAGGAGTTGCATGTCTGTCAATGCCCCTACAGTCCAACCTCAGTGTAATGTATGGCCTGGGAATTGTTCACTTTAAAGGGTTAGTCAGTTTGCTGCATCATGATAGTGGAAAAATCAGTTTCTGCATTTGGGATCATTAAAATAGGGGTTGTTGTAAACTGTTCATTACCTTGAGGTTGTACTATATTTGCTCCCATGAACCTAAGAGAGACAGCCCCTGCACCAGCTGTACAAGCATCCTGAGGAGAAGATGTCACTGAAGCATCCTTCCTGCACTGCCATAATATCCACAAGATTCCTCTGGTGCTTGAGCTAGTGCAGCAAAGAATTGGGATTATAAACAAGTCAAGTATTAGCATAGCATAATTAATGCTAACAACTTTAAAACTAGCAAGGTAGAGGAATAGAGATCCTCTGATCCAAATTTTGCTTTCTATCAGGTTGTGTGTCTTCCATTGAAGTTATTTCTAACTTGGCAGCTTGCTTTTCAGAGCCCATGCAATTTTTAAACTGCTGTAGTCAAACCCATTTGCAATTTTTAAAAGGTATCAAACAGATTCATGTACCTATATTTTAATGATTCGTTGTTGGATGACCAATTAAGACTGTTATCCTTCAAAGCATCTTTCTTTCTTACTCTCCCATCATGGAGACACTTGAAATCCAGGATGGAATATACATTGCCATAGGCTGCATGTATACCTCTACATAAGCAACTTTGATGTGCTGTTTCTAAGACTGCTTTTTCCTTGTGAGTGCTCTAAAAAAAGGTCTTGTTGCGGAAAAAAAATTGCTGCATGGTTGTCAGCTGCTACTTTTAGAAGGCCAGCATGCTGGAGAAACCTTTAATAAACAAATTAGATTGAAATTTCTAATACAGTCAGTAACTCCCCGTCCTAACTTATTTTTTCTAGATCGTCCTGGTTTGTTGAATGTGAAACCCATTGAAGATATACAAGATAATTTGTTGCAAGCTTTGGAGCTCCAGTTAAAACTGAATCACCCAGAGTCATCACAGCTGTTTGCAAAGTTGCTACAGAAAATGACGGACCTCAGACAGATTGTAACAGAACATGTGCAGCTATTGCAAATAATAAAGAAAACGGAGACAGATATGAGTCTTCATCCACTCCTACAAGAAATCTACAAAGACTTGTATTAGTGACCCCAATCATTCTAATCCACTGACATAATGTACGTTCTTCAAATTGCACTATTTCTTTGAGAGACCATTACATATCTAAGAAATTACTGTGAAACAGCATTTTAAAAAGAGAGCTTTAGTATAGTAGATCTATTTTATGCATATTGTTTATAAAGATACATTTACAATATACTTTTAATATTAAAATGTCTATATCATGAAATTGTTGACAGTATTTTCAGACTTAATTTTTAACTATCTTATTTCTACAAGAAAATTGTTTGTCCAATATGATTAAAACATCAGTGAAGCTGGTTAAACATGCAGTTAAGTTTTCAACTTAAAATAAAAGTCTTTTTCCACAAACATTTCTTAAGGGAACATTTAAGATATCTGGTTCTGTATGATTGCAATCTAAAGTCAGCAACAACAGCAGTGATTGAACCGTAGGTTACTGCAGTGTTTTTACTTCAAACTTAAGTTAGGCTTGTTGGTCCTGATTACATTTGTGCCCATTTTAAAACCCCTTTATACTGCCAGAGCTGAGCAAAGAGGGTTAGTATGAATGTGAATCTGGCTCAGCCTTCATAAGTAAAACCAAAAGGGACAAAGTGAATTCAGGAAATTATGTACTGTTTATCATATTTAGGAAAAGGGAGCCTTTGCAATTAACTCATGCCAAGACGTTTCCACAGTATATGAGATACCTACCTCATCATTGAACAACATATTCATCCCAAAATGCCACCTTAAATAGAAACAAGGTGAATTTCATAAAACAAAAGCAGGACTTAGATTTGTTTGTACAATCATAAACCTGCAATGTAATCTCCTGCAGCATTATTTTGTATTCAGATGCTAGCATTTAGCATTGGGAAGAAAGAAACTTAGAAACGTTCACTGCTCATATGATTAGTCATGGTGTCACATGTCTTACCCCCATCATCTCATATAAGAATACCAGAAGGACTACATTTGGAGGTGATCCTGAATGAATCTAAGGGAAGCAGAAGTCACTTCCAACTTTTTCACTTGCCAATAGTAAGGAGCCCCAGCATCCCAGCATGCTCTCTGCCCCTTTCCTCTGCTCTCTAGCTGGTGCAGGGGCAGGGTGTGCCCAGATGCTGGCCTGCCATGGTCCCTGAGGCAAATTCCTCCCTCTGTCCCCTCTCCGCACTGGCAAACCCTGGGGACCGCAGCTCCATTTTGCCAGTCCCAGCCACACCTCCATGGCTTGCCTGCAGCCAGGCAGGGACAGACTCCCTCTGTCCCCTCTCTCCCTCGGACCCCCCACGGGTTTGGCTGCAGTCTCTGCGACTTGTGGGGGGTATTCATTTCACAGCATATCCTGGGGGGCAGGGGGGAGAGAGGCAAGCAAGACTTCTGTGTGCAGATCCAAGCCCTGCACTTGTGAGCCCAGGGCTAAGACCTGCAGGACCAAACTGAGAGGTAGAAAGTGTTGGCAAAGACCTGACAATCATCACACATGCTGGAGATGTAATTAAGGGAAATTTCAGACAGCTTCACCAAAGAATGCAGAGAGCTATATGCCTAAACAAAGCCTTTCTGAATGCCTGGCTGTAACTCTGCCCTCAGGATTAGTAAAACTAATTCTTGTCTTCCTGGTTTACATTTTAAATTAACCTAAGTTGTGTATGCTGTGTTTATTGGGCTGAATCTTAGCTTAGGCAAAGATTTTTGGTAGTTTCCTGTATGCTTTGCAAATTGCTATGTTCAATACATGATTGCTTCAGAGAGAGGACTTTTTCCCTAACCCCATTCCTCAGTCTGTCAGCAGCTCCTCCCCACCCCAGGCTGGTAATTAGCATCCTGTGTGTCCCGCTGGTGCCTGGCCACACCCCCTCCATTCAAGCAGGGAGGCATGAGAGCCTAGGAGGGTGTCTCTCTTCCCTCCCCTTTGGCAGCGGCTGGTAGGCACGCTCTAGCAGCCGCCAGCTTCTAGCTTGAGTCACTGCAGGCATGCATCTGCATTTCCTAGTTTAACAGAGAATGTCTGTCCAGTTATTAATCAGTTTAAGCTGTGCAGCTTAGATTAACCTGCAAAGAGTGAATCAATTCAGGCTTGGGCTTTTTGAATGGCTGTCCCTAGCCTAACAGTTTGGCTCAAGAAGGGTGGTATATTGGTGTAATTAAAGGCACTGACAGATGTGCATCCCTTGCTCTATCTCATGGTGCTTTACATAAACAGCTATGAGTTAGAGTGCCCCCCCCACAACCCAACAGACCTTTGGAGTCATGGGGGAGGGAGGGGAGGAATTGATCTTGGCTGCAGAAGCCCACAGAGCCTGCTGGCAGCAGAGGAATTGCCCCTCCCCCTCAGTCCTGCCCCCTCTCCCACCCAGCTCTGGTGCCGTCAGCAAGAAGGGAGGGGGAAGACAGGAGGGGGAGCAAGCTGCAGGCTGGGGTTTGTCTGGCCTGAGCTGGAGGGAGGAGGTGGGGGGCATGAAGCAGGGAGGCTCTAATCCACCCACCCTGCCCAGCTTGCAGCTTGCTCCACCTCCCTTCTCCCTTCCTGCAGACAACCCCAGGGTCAGGTGTGGGCTGCATCAGCCCAGCCCCGATCCCAGCAAAAATTAATCCTATGGAGCACAAGTTACCTAAGGTGCTCCAAAGTGAAGTGCCTTCATCTGATCCTTCACTTGATGAAGGTTAATTTGTTGCGTGATTGGCCACTTTTAAAGCACTCTGCAGCCATGCATGTGTGTCATGGCATGTCTGTAGAGCCCTTTCAAGGGGCCAGTCACATGAAAAATGTAACTTCTGTCTGTGCCCTAAGACTGAAGGCCGGAAGAAAGCGAGGAACCAAAAAAGCAACTGATGGAAAGATGTAAAGTAGAGAGTTGACTCCCCTGAGAATTCCTTATTGTATTGTTTTGTTTTTTATAAGTGACAAAGGTAATTACACCTAATGAATAGAGTTCAGAGGTGTTGTGTAAGTGGACTAGGGGTGTTCTTTGCCTATGAATTAAAAATCCAGGTTGAATCTTCAGTCAGTATGAATCTGCTCTGCTCCAGATCTGGCCTTAAAAAGTCTAAGCTGATGTAATTTACTCAATGAATGGCCTAGAAGAAGGCATCAGAGCAGTTCCAAATTCCTGGAATACACGGCCCAATCCTAAAAATATTTCTAAAGCTACTGGGTCTCTGACTTGTGTAAGCATTACACCCACTAGGAATTGTTTGCCAGTTTAGACTTCTGAATTGGGCTTTAAGGTTTAAAGCCCACAAATGGAGTTCCAGAATCAGTGTGGGCACAGCTTTGATGTCTGCTCATCTAGCAAGGAGATCACCCCAGACAGCTGAGATGTGACTGCCCTCCTGCAGACGGAATACTGCAAGATGGCAGTGGGTTTTGCAGTGATAGAGCTTGCACAGTTCATGCACAGAATCGTGCACAGTTCAAACGAGGCAGATGGTTGCTTGCAGGGTATCAAGTTATGATGGGGATTTATACATTGGCCAATTTGTGGTTGTTAAGATTCAAAAAGGCGTGTTCTATTTTTTTAGTAGTTTTCCATAAGATATTTGCTATTTGAAGTTTGCTGCCTATCAACAAAGTGGGGAAACCCCTATATAATCAAGGAGTTCATCCTCTCCTAAAAGATGTGGTATGAAATCTAGTTTAAATGGTTCCCTGCTATATATTTCCCACAATAATGATACGTAGCACAAATTATAAACTGAAACTGCATATTTTGCACAATCTACCCAACAGTGTCTTCATTAGTAGTTGGGTGAGTAGCACAGAATTAGTTCCTGTGAAAAGAATAACTGCAGAGCAAGTTCTTACAGATTTAAAACTAAAGCGCTTTCTGAAAAGGACAGTGGATGAAACTCAAAGAAAATTAAATTAAGGTCATGGCTTCATTACAGGAAAACATGTGTAACCAAAAAGCACATTTACTCAAATAGCTTAATTTTACTTGGTTACAGACATGCATGTTTAAGAAAAGTAGCAGTTTAGCAGTGGCACATTTTAAATAAATCAGTGCAATACAGTCACACAGTATCTAGATCGTTATAGTTATCTGCAGGGTTTTTCTCAAACAGTGGAACATGTTCATTTTTATGTGAATTACAAACCACAAAAAGGTTATGATTCTAAACAGTAACGTAATGGTCAGGAAGCCCCTCCTAAAATATTTTTTCTACAACTATAGGTCTTAAGGGGAAAATGTTCATTTAATGGACAATTGATATGTACTAATTTAGAACAAATGACTGTAGTGAAGATATAAAAGCGTTTTCTCAAAAATAACATTTTTCTCGTGAATTACATGAACAATTTTGGTCTAATTGTAAATATGTTTTGTTTCAATGGGATTTTATTTATTAAAAATAAGAAACTTGCTAATGGTAGTTTATAAATGGGTTGTGAAATTTTCAGAAACTCTGGAGCTTTGGTGAGGTGTCCCAAGCTGTATATCAACAACTTGTTTTTTTGATGTGGAGAGCTACCAAAAAATGTTGTAGCTAACACTTAAAAACACTCAGCAAGTATGTGTCTTCCTTTTCAAGGCATTTTTAACCATGTTTGAATGTTATGCTCCCCCATAGTCATCTGTCCACCATATTGTGGCATCTTCTAACACAATGTGGGAGAATGAGCTTCTGTTACTTTTCTATGCATCCTGAAAACATTAAATCGCTATTCTGTCTCCTAGTTTAAACTTGCCTTTCTTTTTTAGGGGAGAAAATATAAAACTGGACCATAAAATGGGGAGGCAGGCACTGCTCACATGAGTAAAAACCATAGGTAGATCCAGGATTTTGAAAAGGGGAGTGTTGGATCAGAGACTGGTGCTGTGGGGGTGGCTGTACCCTCTCACACCCCCCACCCAGCATCCCCCCCTTCACAGGCACACAGATCTTGTCACAGGAACAGCAGCCAGGGACATTTTAAAGTCCCTGAATCATGTGTGAACCACCCCCACCCCATTCAGCCTTCTCCTTCTCTATATCCTCAGCAGCGTTTTGCCCCCCCTGACATTCCCCCCATTGCCCTCTCTACTTACAGTTCTGGGCACAGGATGGAGAAGCCCACCTACCACCACCACCACTGTTCTGGCCACTCCTACCCCACTCCAGCCAGGGCTGCAAACACTGGCTGTGCAGAAAGCCAGGCTCAGTCAGAGACAGCAGTGGTGGTATGCAGGTTCCCCTTCCCTGAGCCTGCTCCTGGGCTGGTGGAGAACACCCAAAGGAACTGGGCGGGGAGAGGGACCCCATCTGCTACCACCATCATTGGCTGAGCCCAACTGGAGCAGGTCAGTAGTGGCTCTGGATTTTACTTCACCCAGGGTCAGCTGGGGAAAGCAACAGCAGTGAGCAAGAGGGGGAAAGGGGAGAGAAAAGGAGACGCTGCTGAGCATGCAAGGTAAGGGAGGGGATTCTTACCTGCTTTGGGGACATAAAAAGAGTTCCCTGCTGCTGCTCTAGGGTACCTCACTGCTGCTCCACCCCCCCACCCCCCCCGCAATCCACCCCTGCTAAAGATTATTTGCTTGAATTAGGTTTTCAAGAACTGATTCTCAATTTGTGTACATTCGATAGCTGTCTTTCCATGACGGTACCTACCTTCTCATCAAACATTAGATATGTGTCAGAAATTTATTTTAGAATTTTAAAGCTACCTTTATACTAAAAAAATGACCCTCCACTGATAATATTCATCACCAATAGTTTTCCTAGCAACCACTACTGTAAATAACCTAGATTGATAATGTAGATGGGACACAGGAAAACAGGGCTGGAAGGGATCTCACAGAGTCATCTAGTCCTGCCCCCTGCTCAAGGCAGGATCTTCCCTGACTAACCCATCCCAGCCAAGTGTCTGTCCAGCCTGCCTTGACAACTTCCAAGGATGGTGATTCCACAATTTCTCAAGGTGGCCTGTTTCTATGCTCAATCGCTCTCATAGTCAAGACATTCCTTCTAATTTCCATCCTAAATTTGCCCTGCAGCTTGAGGGTGTTTCTACTAGGCCTGTTCCCTACGACTGTAAGGAAAAATCTATCTCCATCCTCTCTATAATTACCCTGCACGTATTTGAAGATTGTTATCAATCCTACCACCCCCTCCCCCCACCTGCCCTACCCACCAGTCTTCTCAAGACTAAATAACTCTAGCTCTTTCAGTCTTTCCTCACAGGTCTTGTCTCCCTGATCATTTTTGTTGCTCTGGACTCTTTCCAAACTGTCCACATCCTTCTTGAAGCAAAGGGCCCAAAAGTGGGCACAGTGCTCCAGGCGAAACTTCAGCAGTGCTCAACACAGCAGAAGAATCACTTCCCTTATGCAATAATTTTATACAAGAATAAATAACAAGAATTTTTACCATTGTGTCAGAAAGCATGATTGAGATTACATTGATCATTGTTTCATAGCAGTGCTGAAAGCAAGTTTACTCTGCCTATGCAAATACCTAAATAACTTTCAGTAACACATGAAAGTGGTGGCCTTAGCATTGTTGGGGCCCTGGGTAAGAGAGTCATTTGGGGCCCCTTAAAGGCTTAATTTTGATGACCTATAAGTAAGTCGGACATTTTTTATTTCAATTTCACTTTGCCCTATCTGTGAATGAAAAGTATCTTAATGCAATGAAAGTATCTTAATACAATATTGATAATACAAATATTCAACATAATTAATTTTTATTTTTATAAAGTGTGGTGTGGTTGCCCAGTTTGCCATCCCCTAAGACCTGTACTGGGGGCTAGTAAGATGCCTGGTCCCAGAAACAGTTATTAGCATTGGATCTTTTTTGCACTGTAGGCAGTCCTAACTGAATTCTATCAAAAATGCATGCCCATAACTGACACCAGCTGCTTGTGTTACAAAGTTGTGGTTGTATCACAAGCCCAATCTTGTACATCTTACTGGACAAACCTGCCATTGACTTGGGTTAGCACCACCAGCTCAGGTTTTGTGGCAGTAAGAACTGTCATGACTTTAGATACATTTTATTGAAATTCGGTCCTTTGAATGACATCTTAAATTAGGGTAGTAGTAACTCTTTAATCATAAAGGATATCAAATCTCAACAAGAGATCACAATGTCCCTAAGGAAGAAAACAAAGCACAACAAGAAGCAAGCCTTCTAGCTCAACTACTCAATTGTGAGTCTTTCCAAATGGTTGGGACACAAAAAGTTTTTTGCATGGTACTAAACCCTGTCCCAACCCCACAGCCTGCAGCAAATGAAAACTAGCTGCATATTCACATCTCTGGCTGCAAGGACCTTGAGAAACAAGAGGAAACATGAATTCCTCTGCTATGTCCTGTCTTGCACCAGGCCACAACTATGTTCTCTACAAATCACAAGCCCTGGATTTTGTGCTGGAGGCAATAAGACTTTTCCCATGTTGTTGGTTTGGAGATTCTAGATATTAAACTGGGGAAGGCTCCAGGACTATTAAACTGGGGAAGGGTACAGGCAAAGCTGGTTCCCTGTCTTGAAGGCACAACTAAAATTCACCAAAAAAATCCCATATCAAAGAAAAGAAAAACAATCAAGACCAGTCAGGAAAGTTTTCCAAGACTTCAGCTGCAATTTGTTATATATGACACACATACATAACACGTATTTCAATTGCATTCTCTGATTAGAAGTAGTTACTAGTGATCTATGGCTGGAATAGCTCCAGATTAAAAAATGGTTCTACATAATACTGTTTTGCATATGCTATATTAGAAGCTGTCCTGAGACTGGTCCCACCCCTTCTATACTATGAAAGGGCTGAGGAGCAGGAGGGTTTGTGGGGAAGCCCAGCCCAATCCAGGACAGCTTATGAAGCAGGCATTACTTTAGTAGTCTGTCTGGTTGCTCATCAGCAGACATCCAGATTTTCTGTTTGCCACAGAAAAATGTGGACTTTCTCCTTAAAGGAGAAAACCATAGATGTTCTACTTTAAAGGAGAAAAACCCAGGAAACTGGGTTTCTTCTTCCAGGCTGGCAGAGTTCCAGCCTACAAGTGGCTGCTTGGGGCTGGGGTCAGTGGGAAACAGGGGGCAAAGGGTGCCGTGTGAATGTGCATACATGCACATATGCACACAGCAGCCAGGCAGTGTGGTGGAGAGCAACTCCCACAACTCCCTCCAGGTAAGTCTATGGGGGTGGGGTGGAGGGAGGCACATGTGATACAGCAGTGGGGTACACATGGTCCCACAGATTTCTACACCCAGCACAGGGTGCAAATGTACAGCTAGGACAGACCAGCTCCAGGCAGGAAATGGATCCGCAGCCCAATGAGTGGGACCTGGCATGGGAGGGAGCACCGTGCTGCCATGGCCTAGGTGAGATGCCCCCTGCCTGCCCAGCAGCAGTGGGGGAACACAACTTCACACTGCCACCTCACCGTACCTTGGAGGCCACGGTGGCATGGCCTTCCCTCCCACCCCAGGTTCCACTCACTGGGCCACAGAGGTGCCTCCTGCCTGGGGCTGCTCCTGCCTGTCTGCAGCCCTGCACCTCACACCCCACTGTACATGCAGAAATCTCAGGGGGCATGTGCTTCCCTTGCCCACCACTACATCACTTGCCTCCCTGCCTCCCCTGCCACATCCCCTGTGCCCACAAACCCCCTTCCCCACACACCCAACCCCTTCTTCACACACTGGGAGGCTGGGACCTAGGGGTGGGGGGGGCACCAGCAGGACAAGGGGGCTGTGGCTTGGGATTGAGGGGCAATGGCATGGGCAGGGCCAGGGCACTGGCATATCAGAGCTGCTCAGCGCCACTAAGCAGAGGGTGGGGGACAGCTGCAGCTGGACCCACATCCTAGTAAGTGAAGGGGCAGGGGGAGCTCTGATTTTCCATGATAAAAGAAACCAAAATCAAACACCAAAATATATAGGAACTTAGAATGTATTTTATTATAATGATTGAGGCAGTGGTAGGCTTCCAAATTGCTTTTAGACTGTAAATATACCAATAAAACAGTGTGTACCTATATATATAGTGGTGTTTCATTTTAAACACAGAAAAATGCAGATGTGAGGGGTTTTAATTAGAGTATTTGGGAAGTTTAAACAGGAAAACCAGGATCCCCATATCAACAGAAATAGTGATGAGCCTTGCATATCCAGTGATAGGCTCTGATAATTCATGGGCTGCATAAATGCAGAGTATTTATAATGATTCAGCCCAGACCAACATATACAGTATACAGAATAGATCCTTCAAAATCTGGTCTAAAACATACTTGTTTATCTGTATCTAAGGCACTGGAGTTCCTTACCAAGGTTAGGGGCCCATTGTGCATTGCAATGTATTGACACAGCAAGCAAAAATCCCAAATCAAGTCTAGTTTAAGACAAGACAGAATAAAGATGGGAGAAAAACAGAAAGGTGCAGTGATTTTCCAGGGTGACTTGATGGGTCGGTGGTATAGGCAGAAACAGTGCACAGGTCCCACAGTGAGGTTGCAGCTTATAGTTTCTTATTTTATAACAGCTTTCTTGCAGCTGATAAAACTATATGAATTTGAGCACATTAGATTACCCCAGTAGTCCTCAACCTTTCTGGCTGGTGGGTGGCATGGGCAGTGCCCTATTAGTCCCCAGGCCAGATCTGGCTGGTGGTCTTGATCTGGTTCCTTGGATGGTTGCATTTGGACCCCCATCTGGCTATGTAGGCAGGGGGCAGCACAGCCTGAACCTGGCCTTGCAGGGCAAAGGGGGCTTGACACACCCTCAACCCAGCCCTGCTCAGGGGAAGGAGGCTTGACATAGCTCCAACCTGGCCCCAATCCAGGTAAGAGAGGGGAGGGGGCA